ACCACATCTTCTTAATGCTGCAAAACATCTTATACCACTTAGAAAAAAAAAACACCACCTAGTAGACCACCAGTCTAACGCCACCAGTGCCTAGTAGAATGGACTGGATCAAGAAGGTAGTGGACATCATGGATTCTGAGGGATGGCAAGCTACTTATAAGGATAGACTTAGTAACTTTACTGAGGTTTGGGCCACATGGGTTCATTTCTTTGCAACCCCTGTAAACATGCCACTCCAATTTATGAAATTTGCTACCTAAAGGAGAATTTTATGATGCTACATTCTTCTTCCCTTTAAAGGGTCTGCATCCTGTAAGTTTGTTATTTTTGGTTTTGTTTATGTATATGTATAGGTCTCTCTTTTGTTGAACTCAATGGACATGTGCCTTTTTTATTCATTCTATGTAACAACAACCAGGTCCATCTAACAACATCTAAAACTTGCTCAATGAATAAATAATAATAAAAAAAAATCCCCCTCCTCTCCTAATACACCTATCACAGCCACTAACTATAAGCTAAAATGGTAGAAAACCTAGGAAACCTGGAACCAATGATTGAGAACCTAGGGAAAGGTATGGTCATTACTCATAGGTTTTTATGGATTACTTGAGGGCATCACCGGGCTTGCAAAGCTACATGGAAGTTTTTTTTCTTTAAAGTAGATCCTATTTTCTAAAGTAATTTTTGCCAAAGGACCACTTCAAAAATAGGATATCTACTCCTCCTATTAAAGCAGCAGTAAATTCCTCTTTCGAACTTGTACCTATAATAAGAAGGCTTACCTGTAGGTACAGTGAATATCTCCTAAAATTGTGGTTTGTAGGATATGCATCTCATATGAATATCTCCTAAATACCGCAAGTCTAGGAGACATTTCCGAAGCATGTACTCTGAAGGGACGCATGCTCCTGCCGTCACTTCAGAGCTCTCTGCCGTGGACATGCATGGGAGTGACATCATTGCAGCTCAGCCATTTAAGCAGCTGCAGCCGAAATCAGGAAGAATGCCAGGTGAAGATGGAAGCCTTATCAGATAGCACACCTCTAGAGGGATTTGCTTTATGGTAAGGCTGGCCATACACTATACAATTTTCTGTTCAATTTCTGCCCAATTTCCTTTAGATTTAACTTCAACTATGTAGTGCAAGAGCTTGCCTAATTGGATACAACTGAAAGTGTTGTTAGGTTTGACCTCCTATTATATGTTTTTTGGTAAATCTAAACCAAAAATCTCAAGAAAATTGTATAATGTATGGCCAGCCCTAGTATAGCATAATGTGCTAGTGTGTGGTACTAGCACATTATGGCTAAAACCACCCAGGGCCCATGTTTTTTTTTTTAAGTTTACAAACGCTTTAAAGAACCTACACTTTGGCAAATGAAGTGATAGCCAGTTGGGGGATAAAAGATGAACCTGAAAAAAAGGTGTATAGTAGACAAACATAAGAGGCTACACTGAGAAGGTCAGTAGGCCTCTCAGGTTTGATGCTTGAAAGAAGGACTCACAATACAGGAGACTTTGTGAGAAGGAGGTAAAAAGTTGACAGTAATGAGTAATGAGATCAATGAGTGAAAGTTGTTCATTTTTTGCTGAGCATTGGGTTGGGTTTGAAGTTCAGAGAACCTACAGGGCTTTGTAGGATGTAGCTGGGGGTGGGGTTCTGAATAATTGTAAAGACCAGAAACTCCTGGTAATGTCTTGGAAAATATAATGTTAAGGTCTTGTCTTGGAAGAGTTCATTTAAGGCCCTCTAAACATGACATGAAAGCCTTTCTCCAGGAACCAGGCCTTAAAGCAGATCATCAGGGGAATGGGGTATTTGGAACAATGCTTTCTGATGGCTTCTTCACACCATTTCAGAATTCTGGATACATTTTTGTATGCACATTTGGACATGTTTTTTGATGTGTTTTTTCAGTGCATTACACTGCATGTTCCCCCTTCTTATGTTGTGAAATTCTTAGCAAAATGGGGTTCATTTACTAATGCTGGTTCACTCACATGGTACGGTGCATGGTAGCCAATCAGCATCTAACCTCAGCTTGTTCAATTAAGCTTAAGCAGTAAAACCTGTACGCTGATTGGTTTCTATGCAGAAGTGAACGAGATTCTGAGCGAATCCGCTTTAGTACGTAAATAAACCCCAATGTTTCTTGTGTTAATAAACCCCAATGTGTTTACACGCATTTACATGTGTTTGCTCTACTTTTTCCAAACGCATGTAACCACAAAGCATCACTGTGAACTGCACATTCAGACAACATTCAAATTTATTGTTCTCAATTTTGTAATGGTTTGGAATGCATCCAAGTGATTTTGGTGTTAACAGGTCCTTAATCAAGAAAATTTAATTAATACCAAAACTACAGAAAAATTGTGCCTGGCCACACACAGGATCAGCAGACTGTAAAGCTAAGAAGGTAAGAAAATAAAAAGAAATGGCTTCTTCTCAGTTTTTCACACATAGAAGACCCCCCTCAATGCATTTTGCTCATGTGGGACTTAATCATAGAGGCCGCTATCATTAAGTCCCATATGGGTAAAATGCATCTGGTGGGTTCTTCTATGGGAGAAGAACCAAGATGAAGCCAAATCTCATTTAATACCTTCTTAGCTTCACAGTCTGCTGATCCAGCATGCGGCCAAGTGCAATTTTTCTGTAGTCTAAGGCAGGGGCGAACTGACAACCTATGGGGCCCCCGGGCAATAGGGGATCATGGGGCCCCTGTGTCCTTCCCCAAACTCAAAAAAGCCTATGAAAAAGGTACCAGGGGCATCTCATGGGGCCCCCTACTGACCCCTGCCCTCGGGCAGTGCCCGAGTTTCCAAATGGTCAGTCCGCCCTTGGTCTAAGGTAAGTCTGATGAACCTTACATCTTGACCAGCTCCAGCATACAGTGGCACCAGCCACAGGACCCACCTCATGGAGCATAGGAGCTATCAGGGGCGGACTGACCATTTAGAAACTCGTGCACTGCCCGAGGGCCCGGGGTCAGTAGCGGGCCCCATGAGATGTCCCTGGTACCTTTTTCATAGGCTTTTTTGAGTTTGGGCAAGGACACAGGGGCCCCATGATCCCCTATTGCCCGGGGGCCCCATGAGTTGTCAGTCCGCTCCTGGGAGCTATATTATTTTTTTAGTTTAGGCCACACTAATACCAATATTTACTTATTACCTTTTATTAACGACTGTAAAATATTGTCTAAAGCAAACCATTATTTCATGATTTCGTAGACTATAAATAATTGGATTAAAGAATGGAGTAACAACAGTATATAAAAGAGAGAGCATCTTGTTAATCCTAATCATGTTTTGCTGAGAAGGAACCAAATAATTAATAAATATTGACCCGAAGTACATACAAACAGAAGCTAAATGTGAACTGCATGTGGAGAATGTTTTCTGTCTCCCGGACCATGAGGAAATTTTCTGAATGGTGAAAAATATAGAAACATAACTCAAAATAATCAGCACAAATGGAAAAAGGTTTAGAATAAAGGACAACAGGAGAGCCTCCATCTTCACCATTGATGTGTCTGAAGAAGATATCTCCAAAATAGGCGTTAGATCACAATACAGATGGTCAATGATGTTCAAATCACAGAACTGTAGGTTGCAGATTGATACTGTGGATATGATGAGCAATATGAATGCCAAAAGCCAAGCCCAAATTACCAGATGGATGCAATTGCTGGCATGCATGATGGAAGAGTACCTCAAAGGGTTGCAAATGGCCAAGTGTCTGTCATACGCCATAACTGTTAAGAGGAGACATTCAGCACTACCTGTTGCTGATCCCAAGTGATGTTGGATGATACAACCATAGAATGACATGTAACCACCATTCCACCATAAAATGTACAACAGGTTTGGTATGATTATTGTAGTGAAAAACATCTCACAGATGGATAAATTGCAAATAAAAAAATACATGGGAGAATGAAGTCTTGGACTGGTAGCTATCAAGATTATGATTAACATGTTACCTATTAACGTGGTAAGATAAATGAGCAGGAACAAAGCAAATATTAAATCCTTCGAGCTTTTGAGGTTACCAAACCCCAGAAGAAACACCTCCATCACCATTGTCTTGTTCTGTCCGCATGTAGTCTGGTAAAAAAAATCCAGACAGCAAAAATGAGTTTGTACAGCACAGAACAGATCCTAATTACTAAGCATTTACTAATGAAGTCAGATATTACCTATAACATGAAAGATTCATAAAAAGGGTTGTGGTTTTTGAACCTTGGATTGATTATTCCTCGTTACCTGAAAACGATCTACTGGACCATCAGTCCAACTCTAAACCTCTTTATAGCATCCTACTTTCCAAAATAAATGCTTTTTTTCCATCTGCATGAAATCAACATTCTAAGACCATCAATGGCTATGGATAAACAGTTGGATAAATGGCTTTATATCTTGGCAATATCAGGGCTATAAACCGACAACTTTGAATGTACAGTTGAATAAATGGCTCTTTATTTAGGATGTATCTCTCTGTAAGCAGCAGATCTGGATAGAGAGCTGAATAAATTGCCTTTTTATTTGGAATGTATCTGATCTAAAACCTGCAGCTCTGGATGTTAAGTTGGACAAATGGCTCTATATTTAGGATGCATCGAGTCTACAAACCAATAGCTCTAGATGTACAATTGGATACCAGAGGCTCTGGATGGACAGTTGAATAAATGGTTTTGTATTTAGCATGCATCTGGCCTATAAACCAGAGCCTCTGGATGAACGGTTGAATAAATGGCTCTATACTTAGGATGTATCTGGTCTATAAACCAGAGGCAATGGATAAACAGTTGAATAAATGGCTCTATATTTAGGATGTATCCGGTCTATAAACCAGAGGCTCTGGGTGGACAGTTGAATAAATGGCTCTATATTTAGGATGTATCCGGTCTATAAACCAGAGGCTCTGGGTGGACAGTTGAATAAATGGCTCTATATTTAGGATGTATCCGGTCTATAAACCAGAGGCTCTGGGTGGACAGTTGGATAAATGGCTCTATATTTAGGATGTATCCGGTCTATAAACCAGAGACTCTGGATGGACAGTTGGATAAATGGCTCTATATTTAGGATGTATCCGGTCTATAAACCAGAGACTCTGGATGGACAGTTGGATAAATGGCTCTATATTTAGGATGTATCCGGTCTATAAACCAGAGGCTCTGGATGGACAGTTGGATAAATGGCTCTATATTTAGGATGTATCCGGTCTATAAACCAGACGCTCTAGGTGGATGGTTGGATAAATGGTTCTATATTTAGGATGTATCTGGTCTATAAACCAGAGACTCTGGATGGACAGTTGGATAAATGGCTCTATATTTAGGATGTATCCGGTCTATAAACCAGACACTCTGGGTGGACAGTTGGATAAATGGTTCTATATTTAGGATGTATCCGGACTATAAACCAGAGGCTCTGGATGGACAGTTGGATAAATGGCTCTATATTTAGGATGTATCCGGTCTATAAACCAGAGGCTCTGGATGGACAGTTGGATAAATGACTCTATATTTAGGATGCATCTGGTTTATAAACCAGACACTCTGGGTGGACAGTTGGATAAATGGTTCTATATTTAGGATGTATCCGGTCTATAAACCAGAGGCTCTGGATGGACAGTTGGATAAATGGCTCTATATTTAGGATGTATCCGGTCTATAAACCAGAGGCTCTGGATGGACAGTTGGATAAATGGCTCTATATTTAGGATGTATCTGGCCTATAAACCAGAAGTTCTGGGTGGACAGTTGGATAAATGGCTCTATATTTAGGATGTATCCGGTCTATAAACTAGAGGCTTTGGGTGAACAATTGGACACATAGCTCCATATTTAGTCTGTTCCTGTGCTGTAAAAAGTGACTCTGCATAGACATTTGGATAAAGAGCTATGAGCTTGCATTCTACATAAACATTTTTCATAAAATAGTTATTTGTATATCCCTATCAATCCTAACATAAGGACAAATCTCCTTTTTTCAGGGTTTCAAAATAAAAATAAGCATAAGTAAATACTTTAGGGGGGTATTTTAATAGGTATGCCAAAATAATGTAATACTGCATGTATATAGCATACAAAATATTGTTCCAAACAAAAATTTCTTCCAGATGATATATCTTACTTAGTGTACACTGAATTCACATTTTACATCAGTGCCTTCAAATAGCAACCAACAGCATTGTAAACAGAATTTTAAAGAGTAATTTAGTTTAGAATAATAATAAACATACCATGTTGTTGTTAAAGGTCTGGACTACAGATGCAAACTACCCAACACATGGGCACAAAGACCAAAGTGTGACGTTAAACATAGAAAAAAGTTTCTCCCCAGTGTGAGCTCTCATTTAGTATGAAGAATAGACCATTCACAGTAATTTATACTGCACATCGCCTCAATATAGAGCTGAAGGGAAGACAGCACTGAGCTAAAATTGAGCCCAAATTCCCCGGGGGCCAATTAAAATCAAATTAATATTAGTCTCTGCTGAGATTTTGCAAATGAATCGAGTATGATTTGTGGAAAGCAACACAGTAAAAGTTAAACTCAAGCCAGGAGTTGATTTTTGTCTTGGATGGAGTGGGAAATGAAGAATCACCAGGAGGTTGTATTTTTAGTTGCATCCCCATCAGGAAACACTCTTCAGTTCCTCCTGTCCCAGCTACAGACAATCTCCAAATCAGGAATTACATAAATCAGGAATTACATTGACCCATATAGCAATAAAACCCTGAAAATCATTTGAAGGACTAGAACCCCTGCCATGTTTTTGTTTCTCATTGCCCCCCATTGAGGATCTCCCCATGTCTCCCTATGTTTATGGAAGTATTATTATTATTATTATTACAGGTACTTATATAGCACTGTCAATTTACACAGTGCATTACATATATACAGTGTTCAAAAAAATGAAAGGAACACTTTGAAAACACATCAGATCTCAATGGGTAAAAATATCATACTGGACATCTATACTGACATGGACGGGGTGATGGGTGAGGAACGTAAGGACGCCCCATTGTTTGATGGGAATGAAAATTATCAACCTACAGATGACTGAATTCAAAGACACCCCAAAAATCAAAGTAAAAAAAGATGCAGCAGGCGAGTCCATTTTGCTTAAATTCTATTATAGTAACTCACTTGAGGTGATTGTAACCGTATTAGTACACTTGCAACAGAAACAATTGAGTACTGTCTGTGATACTTTTTTAATTTGCACTAACATACAATTTTCATGACAAGCTTTCGGGGTATGTCCCCTTCTTCAAGGTCCAAGTAGTACCAAGGTCCAAAGTTTTAGCAGAATGTTAAAAGAAACAATCTTTGCGAGGAAAAAAAAGAAAACAGAAAAAAAACCACACACAAATATACATAGCAATGGTTATTAGGGCTCATGTACACTGCAGCTGATAAACTTGCAGTAAACTTACAGTAGTTTACAGGCAGTTGAGTTTACAGTCATTTTCTTAACGCAATAAACTTGCGTTCAGGAGTAGATTTTATCAGCGTTTCAAACACAAAATGCTTTTAAACGTGTGTAAACACGGCCAACTGCGTTTATAAGCGTTTGCGTTTAGAAGCATGTTTTAACTGTTCCATTTCCAGATGCTGATCCAGATCCTTTTTTCATCATGAAAAATGCATGCAAAGCATTTTCAAGGTACTCAGATGGACAAAACACTGAACACAGGATGTTTCTACCAAGCTTTTCACACATTGTAATGACCAATCCACAACTCAGACCTCTCCCACCCTTGGAAACACAAGATATGTTAATGACCAATTCACACCTCAGACCTCTCCCACCCTTGGAAACACAAGATATGTTAATGACCATTCACACCTCAGACCTCTCCCACCCTTGGAAACAAAAGATATGTTAATGACCAATTCACACCTCAGACCTCTCTCACCCTTGGAAAGAAAAGATATGTTAATGACCATTCACACCTCAGACCTCTCCCACCCTTGGAAACAAGATATGTTAATGAGCATTCACACCTAAAATTCCTCAGGAAGACCCCCTGCCAGGTGACCTTAATGACTCCCTCTCCACCAGACACCTTTCCCACCCTTGGAAACAAAAGAAATGTTAATGAGCAACTCACACCTAAGCTAATCTCAACACATAACGCTGTCTCTGCTTCTACTCTCCGTATTTCTTTGAAACAGTCTGAAATAGGTAATAATTTACCAGTTTGCAGTGCATTCTGGGCGGTTCTCCTGCACTTATCTTTAAAAACGCTTCTAAATGCAAACGCGCATAAACAAGGAATGCAAACACAGCTAAACAGAACTTTTTTTAGCCTACATTTTCCATGCGGTCAGTTTCCATAATTCAGAAGTGTCCCGTGTACATGGGGCCTTAAACTAGGATTAGACTAGAGATAAGAAAGAGCAAACGCAAAGATGGGGGGGGGGGAGTTGGGACAACAGTCATAGAGGGGATTGTAAAACTGTTGGATAATGAGTGAGGAATCCCATGTCCAAATTAAGGCCATTATCTTTTGTATCAAATAGAAATATCATTCGTGGTTCAAAAGTTTTCCTTTCCTGGATAATTTTGAAATTCCCTTTAAGAACTAAGATATTGAGATCTTCCATAGTGTGGTCTGGTTGTGTGAATGGTGTCCCACAGGCGTGCAAAATTCATCTTCTTTATGTTCCGTGATGGTATGTTTGTGCAAATTCATGTTTATTTGCAACTTCTGTCCTGTTTCGCCAACATAAGATCCTTTGCTGCATTTTCTGCACTGGATAAGGTACACAACATTACTGGAGGTGCAGCTGTATGATATTGAAGATCCCTTCTGAGTGTGTGACACTTTTTTATAGAATAATTTGGTTGCACAGTTTTGCAGCAACTCAGAATGGTCCTCAGTAGTTTTTTATGGCCCCACGCTTGCTTGTGGGCATGCTCTTAATGAGACGATGGATGTTGTCCTGGGGTGTTTCCTCCCAGATCTGGACCAGGGCATCACTGAGCTCCTGGACAGTCTGAGGTGCAACCTGATGACATCATACCCCCCAAACGTCAAACCATCACCAGCTGTATCCTCCGCAACCTGAACCCTGCCCCTCTCCACTTTGCAGCTGACCGACTTTACGACAGTATCCTCCCACTGTCCTGCCCTGACCTGGCCACTACAGCTTATAACAACTCACCCTAGACTCCTTAGCACCCTTAACCACACGAAGCATTAGACCCTGACCGCTTCAACCCTGGCAGAATGACCACACCAAAAATCTTAAACAACGCAGTCGTGCGCTGGAGCGATCATAGCGCAAAACCAGATCCCAACAAGCGTTCACCCTATACAAATCTGCCTTCCTCACCTACACCTCCTCCCTCCACGCTACCAAACAAGGCTACTTTGTAACCCTCATCAATACCTTCTCCTCCAGTCCTCACCAGCTCTTCTCTACTTTTAACTCCCTACTCTCTCCGCCCCACCCAGTACCTCATTCACCGCCCACGATATTGCTAACCACTTCCAAAACAAGACTGTCGCAATTTGTAGGGACATTGTCACTGCTCAGACTCCCACCCCACCTAGCCTCCCTCCCATGATAACCCCCTCAACACTCCCCTCCTCTGACCCCTCAACTGCCCAGACCCCCACCCCTCCTACCATCCCGCACACTAAACCCACCCCAACACTCCACTCCTTCGACCTTGCTACCACTGAAGAGGTCACTAAGGCCTTCTCCGAAGCCCGCCTCACCACCTGCCCCTTTGACCCTGTCCCCACACAACTCCTACGGTCACCCTCCTCCTCCATCCTACGCTCCCTCACTCACATCTTCAATCTCTCCCTCTCTATTGGTGCATTCCCCTCCCCTCTAAAGCACGCGCACATCACTCCCATACTTAAAAAATCCTCCCTGGACCCCACCTACCTAAACAACCTTAGACCCATCTCCCTGCTGCCATTTACATCCAAACTCCTCGAGCGCTTAGTCTATAATCGCCTAAGCTCCCACCTAAACGACAACAACCTCCTTGATCCCCTACAGTCCCTTACACTTCACCGAAACTGCCCTACTCAAACTCACCAACGACCTGCTAACCGCCAAAGCTAATGGCCACTACTCAGTGCTCCTACTCCTCAACCTTTCCGCGGCCTTCGACACAGTTGACCACCCCCTCCTCCTTAAAAAACTATACTCTCTTGGCCTCAGAGACTCTGCTCTCTCTTGGCTCTCCTCCTATCTATCCTAGCTCTCCTTCAGTGTTACCTATAATGCTGCCACCTCCCCCTCTCTCCCCCTCTCTGTTGGAGTCCCTCAAGGCTCTGTCCTCAGGCCCCTCCTCTTCTCCATCTACACCTCCTCCCTTGGCCAGCTGATACACTCCCATGGCTTCAACTACCATCTCTACGCTGATGACATGCAAATCTACCTCTCTACCCCTCGCCTCACCCCTTCAGTCTCTGCCCGAATCACCTGCCTACTGAACGACATATCAGATTGGATGTCACTCCATTTCCTCAAATTGAACCTTTCCCCCCAGCCCCCCCCCCCCTCTCCATCATGACCAAAAACGCCACCAACAGTCCCACCCCACAAGCCAAAGTTCTAGGTGTCACTCTAGACTCCAATCTGTCCTTCCAGCCCCATGTCCAATCGCTGGCAAATTCATGCAGGCTCCACCTTCACAACATCTCCAAAATATGCTCATTCCTAACCCCAGAAACTACTAAACAACTCATTCACTCCGTTATTATCTCATGACTCGATTACTGTAACTCCCTCCTCACCGGCTTACCTCATCACAGGCTATCCCCGCTTCAGTCTATCCTGAACTCTGCGGCCAGACTCATCCACTTTACCAACCGCTCCGTATCCACCACCCCCCTCTGTCATTCCCTCCACTTGCTTCCGATTGCCCAACGCATAAAATTCAAATTACTAACACTGACGTACAAAGCTATTCATAATACTGCCCCAAACTACCTCACCGACCTGATATCTAAATACCACCCAACACGTACTCTTTGCTCCTCACAAGACCTCCTACTCTCTAGCTCCCTGGTCTCCTGCTCCCATGCCTGACTCCAGGACTTCTCCAGGGCTTCCCCCATCCTCTGGAACTCACTACCCCAATCTATCAGACTGTCACCTACCCTCCTCACCTTTAGGCGCACCCTGAAAACCCATCTCTTCAGGGAAGCCTACCCCGCCCTCACCTAACTGCTGATCTCCTCCACTCCTCCTACCACTCCATCCCCCACAGCCATTTCCTCCTGTAACACTATCCCCTCCCTCCTAGATTGTAAGCTCCAAGGAGCAGGGCCCTCGTACCCCTCATGTATTGTATTGTTACTGTATTCTCTCATGTACTGTCTCTCACTATAATGTACAGCGCTGAGCAAACTTTTTGGCGCTATATAAATACTGTATAATAATAATAAAAATAATCATATGGACCGAAACATGATATCCCAGAGGTGTTCTATTGGATTTAGATATAAATTTCTTCATCATCCAGGAACTGGCTGCATATTCTCCCAACATGAGGCCAGGCATTGTCATGCACCAGGAAGAACCCAGATCCACTGCACCAGCGTAGGGTCTGACAATGGGTCCAAGGATTTCATCCCAATACCTAATGGCAGTCAGGGTGCCACTGTCTAGCCTGTAGAGGTCTGTGCGTCCCTCCATGGCTATACCTCCTCAGACCATCACTGACCCACCACCAAAACGGTCAAGCTGAATGATGTTACAGGCTGCATAACATTCTCCACTGCTTCAACTGACCCTTTCACATCTGTCACGTGCTCAAGGTGAACCTGCTCTCATCTGTCCAGTGGCAAACCTACCAATTCTGGCGTTCAATGGCCAATACCAAGCTCTATGGTGCTGAGCAGTTAGAACAGGGCCCACTAGAGAACATCGGGCCCTCAGACCACCCTCATGAAGTCTGTATCTGAGTGTTTGGTCAAAGACATTCACACCAGTGGCATGCTGGAGGTCATTTTGTAGTGCTCTGGCAGTGCTCATCCTATACCTCCTTGCACAAAGGAGCAGATGTCGGTCCTGCTGATGGGTTAAGAACCTTCTACGGCCCTGTCTAGCTCTCCTAGAGTAACTGCCTGTCTCCTGGAATCTCCTCCATGTTCTTGAGACTGTGCTGGGAGGCACAACAAACCTTCTGGCAGTGGCATGTATTGATGTGCCATCCTGGAGGAGCTGGACTGCCTGTGCAACCTCTGTAGGGTCCAGGTTTGGCCTCATGCTACCAGTAGTGACACTGACCCTAGCCAAATGCAAAACTAGTGAAAAACTGTCAGAAAAACAAGCAAGCAAAGTTCTTCATGTCACACCCCTGACACAAGCCTACTCAAAATAGCCTAGTGTGTAGTATGTTTCAAGGAACTCCTGAAACTACACACACACACACCACACACACACACACACACACAGAATGGTCTGCAAGAAAAAAATAAAATATCCAGTGAGTGGCAGTTGTGTGGAGGAAAAGGCCTTGTTGACGTCAGAAGTCAGAGGAGAATGGGCAGACTGGTTTGAGATGATAGAAAGGCAACAGAAATTCAAATAATAAAAAAATAAATATAATCAGTGCTATGCAGTGCTATACAAAAAACAGACTAATCTATACCCTTTAATTGTTTTTCATAAAGTGTTTTGTGTCATCACTCAAATTAAAAAGGAAAAAAAATCCACATGTATCAAACGATTTGTCTGTGGGAAAAATAAAAATGCTCAATTTTAAGAGAGCAAATTCTCCAAGGCTGAGAGCTGCTCTCCAAGACTTAGACTGGGAGGGAATATTGGCATTAATGAACACAACACAGAAATGGGAGTTCTTCAAAAAGACTGTATGTGACCACACTGCAAAATATATTCCCATGGGCAACAAGTTAAAAAGACTAAAAATCATATCTATGTGGCTTACGACCAAAGTTATAAATGCTATAGATAATAAGAAAAGAGCTTTTATTAAATATAAAAATGAAGGAACGCGATCATCATTTAAACATTACAAAGAATATAAACATAATATGCAAAAAGGAAATAAAGGCTGCAAAAATTGAAAACGAACGACAGATTGCAAAGGATAGCAGGACCAACCCCCAAAAATTCTTCAAATATATTAATAGTAGAAAGGTCCAGTCCGAGCATGTAGGCCCTTTACAGAATAATCTAGAGTGGGTGGCTGGGGACAAGGAGAAAGCACATTTATGAAATACCTTCTTCAGCTCTGTGTATACAAATGAGCATTGGGGGGGGGGGGCTCTTGTCCATAATGGGCGTGGTACTGACACAGCTCCAGATAATCCACATTGGCTCACAATTGATCTCTCCCATAAATATTTAGACAGAATAAAGGTGAATAAAGCACCAGGACCAGATGGCATACATCCACGGGGCCTTAAAGAATTGAGCTCTGTCATTTCAAAGCCATTGTTTCTAATTTTTAGGGACTCTTTAATGACTGGCATAGTACCACTGGATTGACGTATGGCCAATGTGGTGCCTATATATAAAAAAGTTGTCAAAATCTTTACCAAGTAATTATAGACCTGTTAGTTTAACTTCTATAGTTGGGAAGATATTGGAGAGTTTAATAAAAGACCACATAGATGAGTTCTTTCTGGAAAAATATATTTTAAGCAACAGACATCATGGATTCATGAATGACAGAAGTTGTCAAACAAATCTGATTTCTTTTTATAAGGAGGTGGGCAAAACCTTGGACAGAGAGGTGGTGGTGGACATGGTATACTTGGACAGAGGGGGTGGTGGTGGATGTGGTATACATGGACAGAGAGGTGGTGGTGGACATGGTATACTTGGACAGAGGGGGGGTGGTGGTGGATGTGGTATACATGGACAGAGGGGTGGTGGTGGACATGGTATACTTGGACAGAGGGGTGGTGGTGGATGTGGTATACATGGACAGAGAGGTGGTGGTGGCACTTAACCCATGCAGTGCAGGCACAGCACCACTGCGGGGGAAAATAAACATTTTCACCGGAGCTCTGCTCTACCTTCCCTTCTGGGTTATAGTTAATGGTTGTGATCTGTGTATTAGAGAGACCAGGGAAATAGTGTTCATTATTTAGCCAGTTTTAGGTAGAAGCCATTGTTTTAAACTCAGGCTGGGTATAAATGGTAAGATTTGAGCAGCTCTCCAAGACTTAGACTGGGAGGGAATATTGACATCGATGAACACAACACAGAAATGGGAGTTCTTCAAAGAGACTGTATGTGACCACACTGCAAAATGTATTCCCATGGGCAACAAGTATAAAAGGTGAAAATCAAACCTATGTGGCTTACGGCCAAAGTTACAAAAGCTATAGATAATAAGAAAAGAGCTTTTATTAAATATAAATATAAAAATGAAGGAACACGATCATCGTTTAAATGTTACAAAGAATATAACAGAATATTCAAATAGGAAATAAAGGCGCAAAAATTGAAAACGAACAACAGATTGCAAAAGATATATTAATAATTAATATATAATATATATATATATATATATTAATAATAAAGAGGTCCGGTCCGAGCATGTAGACCCTTTACAGAATACCTTTACAGACTGGGGACAAAGAGAACGCACATTTATATAATACCTTCTTCAGCTCTGTGTATACAAAGGAGCATGGGGGGGCTATTGTCCATAATGGGCATGGTACTGGCACAGATCCAGATGATCCACATTGGCTCACAATTGATATAATCTAGACATATTTAGACAGAATAAAGGTGAATAAAGCACCTGGGCTGGATGGTACATACCCACGGGGCCTTAAAGAAGGTGAGAAAAACCTTGGACAGAGGGGTGGTGGTGGACATGGTATACTTGGACACAGGGGTGGGGGTGGACAGGGTATACTTGGACACAGGGGTGGGGGTGGATGTGGTATACTTGGACAGAGGGGTGGTGGTGGATGTGGTATACTTGGACAGAAGGGTGGTGGTGGACATGGTATACGGACAGAGGGGTGGCGGTGGATGTGGTATACTTGGAGAGAGGGGTGGTGGTGGACGTGGTATACTTGGACAGAGATGTGGATTTGGTATACTTGAACAGTGGAGTGGCGGGGGACGTGGTATACTTGGATTTCAGTGTTGTCAGTGAGGTTCAGTGTTGTCAGTGGGGTACCCAAAGGTTCAGTGTTGAGACCCTTACTTTTTAATATATTTATAAACGATATAGGGTCTGGGATTAAAAATCCCATTTCAGTCTTTGCAGATGACACCAAGCTGTGCAATGGATGCATGCATCAAACATACTGGGGGGGGGGGGGGGGGGGGGGGTACAACTGGGGGGGTCAATGGTGGAGAAGGATCTGGGAGTTCTGGTAGATCACAAGCTTAATAATGGCAGCAATGCCAATCTGCGGTTTCTAAAGTAAGCAAAAATCCTCTCTTGTATTAGGAGAGGTATAGACTCCAGAGAGAGAGATATCATTTCCCCCCCGGTACAAATCATTATTAAGTCCTCATCTGGAATATGCAGCTCAGTTTTGGGCACCACAAAAATTGGGCAATTCACAAAAAAGAACATTGGGGAACTGGAGAAAGTACAGAGAAGGGCAACCAAACTGATAAGAGGCATGGAGGAGATCATCTATGAGGAAAGATTAGAGGAACTGAATTTATTCTCTACTGAGAAGAGGAGATTAAAGGGGGATATGATCTCCATGTATAATACATAAGGGGGGATATGATCTCCATGTATAATACATAAGGGGGGATATGATCTCCATGTATAATACATAAGGGGGGGATATGATCTCCATGTATAATACATAAGGGGGGATATGATCTCCATGTAATAATACATAAGGGGGGATATGATCTCCATGTATAATACATAAGGGGGATATGATCTCCATGTATAATACATAAGAGGGGATATGATCTCCATGTATAATACATAAGGGGGGATATGATCTCCATGTATAATACATAAGGGGGGATATGATCTCCATGTATAATACATAAGGGGGGATATGATCTCCATGTATAATACATAAGGGGGATATGATCTCCATGTATAATACATAAGGGGGGATATGATCTCCATGTATAATACATAAAGGGGGATATGATCTCCATCTATAATACATAAGGGGGATATGATCTCCATCTATAATATATAAGGGGGATATGATCACCATGTATAATACATAAGGGGGGATATATGATCTCCATGTATAATACATAAGGGGGGATATGATCTCCATGTATAATACATAAGGGGGATATGATCTCCATGTATAATACTTAAGGGGGGATATGATCACCATGTATAATACATAAGGGGGGATATGATCTCCATGTATAATACATAAGGGGGGGATATAATCACCATGTATAATACATAAGGGGGGATATGATCACCATGTATAATACATAAGGGGGGATATAATCTCCATGTATAATACATAAGGGGGGATATGATCATCATGTATAATACATAAGGGGATATGATCTCCATGTATATAATACATAAGGGGGGATATGATCTCCATGTATAATACATAAGGGGGGATATGATCTCCATGATATAATACCCACATAAGGGGGATATGATCTCTCCATGTATAAACATAAGGGAGGAATGAATCTCCATAAGCGTATAAAATATGAAAATAAGGGATAAGGGGGATATGATCTCCATGTATAATACATAAGGGGGATATGATCGCCTATGTATAATACATAAGGGGGGATATGATCTCCATATATAATACATAAGGGGGATAGTGAATGAAACTCCATGTATAATACATAAGGGGGGATATGATCTCCATGTATAATACATAAAGGGGGGATATGATCTCCATGTATAATACATAAGGGGGATATGATCTCCATGTATAAATACATAAGGGGGGATATTGATCACCATGTATAATACATGTAAGGGGGGATATGATCTCCCATGTATAAAATACATAAGGGGGGATATGATCACCAATGTATAATACATAAGGGGGGTATGATCTCCATGTAAATACATAAGGGGGGATATGATCTCCATGTATAATACATAAGGGGGATATGATCTCCATGTATAATACATAAGGGGGGATATGATCTCCATGTATAATACAAAAGGGGGGATATGATCTCCATGTATACATACATAATGGGGGGATCTCCATTATGATCTCCATGTATAATATACATAATAAGGGGGATATGATCTCCATGTATAAAATACATAAGGGGGGATATGATCTCCATGTATAATACATAAAGGAGGGATATGATCTCCATGTATAATACATAAGGGGGGGATATGATCTCCATGTAATAATACATAAGAAAATAAGGGGATATGATCTCACCATGTATAATACATAAGGGGGATATGATCTCCATGTATAATACATAAGGGGGGGGATATGATTCCATGTATAAATACATAAGGGGGGATATGATCTCCATGTATAATACATAAGGGGGGATATGATCTCCTCCATGTATAATACATAAGGGGGGGATATGATCTCCATGTATAATACATAAGGGGGGATATGATCTCCATGTGTATAATACATAAGGGGGATATGATCACCATGTATAATACATAAGGGGGGGATATGATCTCCATGTATAATACATAACGGGGGATATGATCTCCATGAATAATACATAAGGGGGGATATGAATCATGTTTACCATGTATAATACATAAAGGGGGGATACGATCTCCATGTATAATACATAAGGGGGGGGGATAACATCACCATGATTATAATACATAAGGGGGGATATGATCTCCATGTTATAATGCTAAAAGGGGGATATGATCTCCATGTATAATACATAAGGGGGGATATGATCATCCATGATATAATATACATAAGGGGGGTATGATCTCCATGTATAATACATAAGGGGGGATATGATCTCCATGTATAATTACATAAGGGGGGATATGATCTCCATGTATAATACATATGGGGGGATATGATCTCCATGTATAATACATAAGGGGGGATATGATCTCCATGTATAATACATAAGGGGGATATGATCACCATGTATAATACATGAAGGGGGGATATGATCACCATGTATAATACATAAGGGGGGATATGATCTCCATGTATAATATCATAAGGGGGGGATATGATCTCCATGTATAATACATAAGGGGGATATGATCACCATGTTATAATACATAAGGGGGATATGATCTCCATGTATAATACATAAGGGGGATATGATCTCATGTATAATACATAAGGGGGGATATGATCTCCATGTATAATACCATAAGGGGGGATATGATCTCCATGTATAATACATAAGGGGGATATTGATCTCCATGTATAATACATATAAGGGGGGATATGATCAACCATGTATAATACATAAGGGGGGGATATGATCTCCATGTATAATACATGTATAAGGGGGATATGATCTCCATGTATAATACATAAGGGGGGATATGATCACCATGTATATAATACATAAGGGGGGATATGATCTCCATGTATAATACATAAGGGGGGATATGATCTCCATGTATAATACATAAGGGGGGATATGATCTCCATGTATAATACATAAGGGGGGATCATGATCTCCATGTATAATACATAAGTGAGGGGGGATATGATCACCATGTATAATACATAAGGGGGATATGATCTCCATGTATAATACATAAGGGGGATATGATCTCCATGTATAATACATAAGGGGGGATTATGAATGATCTACCATGTATAATACATAAGGGGGGGATATGATCTCCATGTATAATACATAAGGGGGGATATGATCACCATGTATAATACATAAGGGGGATATGATAATCTCCATGTATAATACATAAGGGGGATATGATCTCCATGTATAATACATAAGGGGGGATATGATCTCCATGTATAATAGTATACAAAGGGGGGGTATGATCTCCATGTATAATACATAAAGGGGGATATGATCTCCATGTATAATACATAAGGGGGATATGATCTCCCATGTATAATACATAGAGGGGGATATGATCCTCCATGTATAATACATAAGGGGGGATAATGATCTCCATGTATAATACATAAGTGGGATATGATCTCCATGTATAATACATAAGGGGGGATATGATCTCAACATTGTATAATACATAAGGGGGGATATGATCTCCATGTATAATACATAAGGGGGGATATGATCTCCATGTATAATACATAAGGGGATAATGATCTCTGCATGTATAATACATAAGGGGGGATATAGATCTCCATGTATATACATAAGGGGGGATATGATCTCCATGTATAATACATAAGGGGGGATATGATCTCCAATTATAATACACATAAGGGGGGATATGATCTCCATGTATAATACATAAGGGGGGATATGATCTCCATTTATAATAACAATAAGGATGATATATCTTCCAATGTATAATACATAAGGGGGGGATATGATCTCCATGTATAATACATAAGGGGGGATATGATCTCCATGTATAATACATAAGGGGGGATATGATCTCCATGTATAATACAAAAGGGGGGATATGATCACCATGTAAAATACATAAGGGGGGATATGATCTCCATGTATAATACATAAGGGGGTTATGATCTCCATGGTATAATACATAAGGGGGGATATGATACACCATGTATAATACATAAGGGGGGATATGAATTCCATGTATAAATACATAAGGGGGGGATATGATCTCCATGTATAATACATAAGGGGGGGATATGATCTCCATGTATAATACATAAGGGGGATATGATCTCCATGTATAATACATAAGGGTAATATGATCTCCATGTATAATACATAATGTGGATATGGAGGGATATGATCTCCATGTAATAATACATAATGGGGGATATCGATCTCCATATAATACATAAGGCAGGATATGATCTCCATGTATAATATATAAGGGGGAAATTGATCTCCTTGTATTAAATACATAAGGGGGATATGATCTCCATGTATAATACATAAGGGGGGATATGATCTCCATGTATAATAACATAAGGGGGATATGAACACCATGTATAAATACATAAGGGGGGATATGATCTCCAGTATTAATACATAAGGGGGGATATGATCATCCATGTATAATACATAAGGGGGGATATGATCTCCATGTATT